ACTATAAAAAAACAAACAAACATTATTTTTCTTAACCATTAATAAGTGATATGCATTTGCATTTCAGACTTTTCATGGTCTCATATTTTATAATAATTGAATCACACAATAGGAACAAAAGTTAAAAGTCTGTTTCAGCCCATGGTCTCATAGATACATTAAGTCTCCTTGGCTGTGTCTCTGCCAAGCCTCATTCAGCCTCTCTTTTAAGACCTGCAGCAATGGGAACTGACTTTCTCCTGGGACTACACCATCTTTGCAGAGCATTAACTGTTAAAAATTCAAGTCAAACCTAAATTTTGGAGTATTAGTTTGATCAGCAAATAGCATATGTTTTCATTTAGGTCATTAATTGAACACTAAAAAGCCAAGAACAGTGCACCATGGTCAACTTCTAGAGAACTCTAGAGTCTTCAATCAAGACATGCTGTATCCTGAAATCTGGCCACAGTGCTCAATGAGGAGACCATGGAAGCCTTTGGCAATGTCTTACAGAGGTCAAGACATGCTATGTATTCTATGAACATCCCTGGGTTACCTTCCTTAGTCTAGGAAGCTTTGGGGACCTCATGTTGCCCTCTGGCATCCTGATAATAGGCATGGTTATTAAGTAAGCTCAACTCCAAGTAAAGATTTGACAAAGATTTATGTATTAATAGATTAAAACTCCTTCTCCCATTGCATAATTTTCAAAATCTCCTTAAAGTTCATCTACCTCTCACTTCCATAATAATACATACCATAATAACCAGTGGAAGAGACTGATAATTTGATTTTATTGCCAATTGAGAGATGCTCATCTCTGCACATACCCCCTGAAATGGTATCTTCCTTTTTCCCTTGGACTCTTGGTATTTATGGATACACAATACCTCTCCAATAGCGCTAGAAAAATCACCAGGTGAATCTAAAGCTCTCATTGTCTTCCCACGAAGGATACTCTGTTTATGTGTCTTCTCAAAATCTAGTATTCACAATGAAAACAAATTCTACAATTATGTAAATTCTTTATCTTCAGTTTGGAAAAAGCTAAAGGATCTCAGCTATACACAGGTTATAAAAGGAGGAATGTGGATTCTCACTGGATGGCCCCAGACCTAGGTAGGGAGATAGAGGATTATAGAGTTTGGAAAAGAACACAGGCCAGAGAAACAAAGAGAAGAAAAATATGGACCAAGAAAGATGGGCTATGACCTTAAGCAGGGTAAATATAGCTCACCTCAGTTCTGTCGGACGAGCCCTCATTTTAGCATGCTATAATGATGTGTACATTTGTTTGTAGCTGCATCAGAAAGGAAATGAGATTAGCCTGGCTTGACTGACTTGTTCTAACCGAACCCATGCTGGCTGCTAATGATTGCTTTCTTTTTAAATGCTCCCAAGCCATCTGTTTAATAATCTATTCTAGAATTTTGCCTGAGAAGAATCTCAACGCTAGTGAAGTGAAAAGATCCCCAGGCAAAGATCAGGAGACCCAGGTTCTAGCTGTGCTCTGTCATTAACCAGCTGCTAGGCAAGTATCTCAGTCTAGCACATCCTGCTTCATCTCAAAAATGAGTGGGTCAGAATAGATGATCTTCATCACGCCTTCCAGGTGTGAATCTATGATTTCTTTATTACATCCATCTATAGCTTTTGGAATCTACTCTTTCCCCTGATTAGAAAATCAGGACCTTAACCATTTATCGTCTTTGAGTGTTTCTGCTGTGTCTTCTAGATCCTGCTCTGCCACTAACTTGTTAATTAATTCTGGAGCAAGTTGTTTCAATTCCATGGGTCTCAGTTACTTCACTTTAAAAATGAAGGAGTTTAAATCAGGTGACATCTGAATTTCTGAATATGAGTCTGCAATGTCTAGCTATATTGAATATTGTGTCTGTGATCACATTCTGTACATTCTTGGAATAACCAAATGTTAATGTGTTTGATTCTTGAGCATAGAAACATAGACTCATTAGTCCAAGTTGGGCAGAAAGCTTAGTCATTATCAGTTTATTGAATAATATTTAGAGTGGCCAGTTGCTTTCCAGTTGGCTTAAATTTAAATGATTTTTTTACATCTTTCCTTTATTTTTTGTAGAGAAGAGGTCTCACTATGCTGTCCAGGCTGGTCTCTAATTCCTGGCCTCAAATGATCCTCAAGACTTAGCCTCCCACAGTCCTGGGATTACAGGCATGAGCCACTGCACCCAGCCTAAATAACCTTTAATTTCTGATTCACACCGAATTTGTAAAGGCTCCTCCCTCTTTTCCCACTGAACAGCTAAGTCTGCAGGTTGGCCAATTTGCATATGCTCATCTCACAGAATGCCATCAAAGCTCCAAGGTTGCAGAAAGAGGAATCCTGCAAACTGCTTCTGTTTCTTGTTTCACAGGTGATGAATGCTTTGGGTTGTGGAGCTATTTTATTCTGGCCCGATGGTGTTGCATGACTCAGAATAGATGATTCCCACAGGAAGGTCTGATTTTTTATCCTTTGACTAAAATCTAAAAATAGAGCCTTCAACTCATCCTGGACTCTCAGCTGTCACATGCCTAAAAAACCTGGACACTTGGCATGATTGCTTACAGCTTTAAAAGAATCACCGCATTCTGTAGATTAAAATAAAGAACAAACACATATAAGTATATGAACCTGGAATGTTGTTTCATTTGCTCTTGCCTTTATGCTGGGGGAATTATGCAGCTGAAGGCAATGTGCCTTTCAAACTCATTTGAGTACAGTTCGTTTCAAGGTGACCATGATCAGGCTTGCCCAGGAAAAGAGATCTTCTTTCTAATAACATAGTCTTGTTAAGTCTGCCTTCCTAATAATAATAAAGGCTGATGGAACTGTACTGTTTATGGAGTCTCATTTTGTGTGGATGAAACATCCATAATCGTTCTCACTTCAAGAATAACCTGATTGGGGTTTAGTGAGTGCTTTGCTTACAGTCTCAGGACTATGGAGTAGATGAGCTAGAACTGGAATCCAGGATTTATATTATCGCTTCACATCTTCCCACTGCCAATATGTTCCCGGGCCAAACTGAGGGTCGGGCTGCTTATTCTCATGGCCCAATTACAAGATGCAGGTGAACTGGGAAAGAAGGGAGTTCATTTCCGTAACCATGTACAAGGAGAAGGCCTGGAAAATATCACTGGACAAACTCAAAATTACAAAGTTTCCAGAGCTTATATTCCTTCTAAGCTATATGTCTACATGTAAGCACATTCATCTAAAGACATAAGTGATTAACTGCTTCTAATCTATAACTAATATCTGAGTCCTGAAGACACTCCTTTGGAGCCTCAGTACATTTACTTAATCTAATTGGGTGCAGGTGCTGGGGTGATTACCCTTATCTTGCCTCCTGCTAAATCACAGAGGTCTGGGGAGTTCCTTCAGACCCCCAGTAAAATTGTTTGTGGAGGTCTGGGGAGTTTCTTTAGAGTCCCAGTAAAATTTCTTTCATCCTAAACGAGTCCTATTAAGAATTCCCTCATTATCTTGTCATACTACAAGGCCCAGGAAAGGCCTAGGCAAAACTCTTGGTGGGTTTTTATTACATTCCAGCCTTTGTAGAAGGGCATTGGCTCTATCTGCTTTTCATATCTAACTTAACCACTCAGTCAGTGCTGAAACAGTTGTTATGGAGGCCTGCCCAAGTGAGACCTGGCCTGCCACAAGTACACAAATGCACCACTTCCCCCAACACAAACACAGAAGAAACCCACAAAATATTAAGCAAAGTCAGTGCTACCTTCTCCATGAGCCCTGCCCAGGTATTCAAGCGCACACAGACCCAGGGATGGTCCCTGTCTCTGAGTATCTCTTGTAGCTAACGTTTGTGCACATAAGTGAGGCTCCTTCCTTAGATCTTTGTAGTGTTCTCATAATCATCTGTCCTGGCCAGATTGTTTATTTTATAAAAGAGCATTTCTCCACACTTTGCATAGAGCTGGGTCCATAGTAGTTTCAGTAGTTTAGTTCAGGAAAATAAGCTTACAGTATAGAAAGGAGGAATAGCCCCATTCCTGGAGTTAAATGGGACAGCTCTAGCATGTGTCCTACTTATGAAACCTCTTCTGGTCATGTGGATGGATCACTGTGTGCAACTTTAATTAGTCAAACATAGATTCACCGTATTTCAGCAGTAGAAAGAGAAAAAAAAGAGTCATACTTAAATTAAGTCCTTTGAGACCCTTGTTGATAAAATTTTTAAATATTATACTGGAAAATATTTTCCAGTGTCTCTCAACTAATTCGTTACAGGTTTGTATGATTAGGAAGTTAAATCAAATTGCAATAGCAACCAGTTTGATTATTTTGACTGAATCAGTTGGTGAATTCAGTCATGCAATCCATAATAATGGTTAATTAAATTTCAAAATATTCAAATTTGGTTTATATGCTCCTGTGGCCAGTATTTACTCTTAGTCTCCCTTTGTTCAGTTCCAGCTTCTGCTCTGGGAAGCTCCTAGTAATAGGCACAGAGCTGTAACAGAGCATGCTGCAGACATCTCAGGTCTTAGACGAACCTGCTGAGCCAAACAGGAACCCAGGTTATTACACTTCTTTTAATAACTAGGGCCGGCGTGGTGGCTCACACCTGTAATCCTAGCACTTTGGGAGGCCTAAGCGAGTGGATTGCTTGAGGTTAGGAGTTGGAGACCAGCCTGACAAACATGGTGAAACCCCATCTCTACTAAAAATACAAAAATTAGCTGGGCTTGGTGGTGGGAGCCTGTAATTCCAGCTACTCGGGAGGCTGAGGCAAGAGAATCGCTTGAGCCTAGGAGGCGGCCGTAGCTGTGAGCAGAGATCATGCCACTGCACTCCAGCCTGGGCAACAGATACCAGTGCCTTATCTCCAAATTCACCCTTCTTTGTTCTTCTTTGTCCTACTGGAGATGGACTCTGGAATATGTCTCCTCGGCCAGTGCCATTAATCCCAGACAGACCTGAGTGGGAGAGATAGTAAAAGAGGGCAGGGCTTGACTTGCCCTTTCCGGTGCTTTTTCTTGCTCTTTCGACATACCCAGGGCGGCCAGCAGGTGGCTTCCTAGTGAGCAGGTGGCTTTCCTGCCAGTGAGGCCAGGGATACTGCAACCCAAGGAAGAAGCTCCAGCAGCACCCACCGTGGGCCGTTTCCTGCCATCCCATCCTGGCCTGTGGCATCTCAGCAAATTTCTCCTCCAGTGGTTCATGGATCCATCATCTCCAACAAGGTGAGTCTCAGCCATGCAGTGGAGCCTTTTCCAAGTTTGTTCCTTCCTTGGGCACTGTCTTCAGCCCCTTCATGGAGTGGTTGTACTCTAGAGCTGCTGCTTCTGTATTTGTTTTTTGTTACACGTTTTTAGACGGAGTCTCATTCACTCTGTCGACAAGGCTGGAGTGCAGTGGTGTCATCTCAGCTCACTGCAACCTCCACCTCCCCAGTTCAAGTGATTCTCCTGCTTCAGCCTCCCAAGTAGCTAGGATTACAGGTGTGTGCCACCATGCCCAGCTAATGTTTGTATTTTTTGTAGAGATGCGGTTTCACCATGTTGGCTAGGCTTGTCTCAAACTCCTGACCTCAAATGATCCACTCCCCTCGACCTCCCAAAGTGCTGGGATTACAGGCGTGAGCCACGGGGCTCAGCCTATTTCTGTATACTAAGAGTTATCTTTACCCCTCTTAGAAGGTAATCCTTTGTTAATAGTTAATAACTTCGATGTTAAATTGCCCCAGTAAAAACTACTCATGGGGTGTGTTTTGTGGCAGGACCCCGGCTCTTGTAGACGCTGTTTCATGAGTTGCCTTCTGGTCCAGGCTGGCTTCAACTGTTGATTCCTCCTTTTGTTTGGGCCTCATTTATAATTTGTCTTTGGACTTTGCTCCCTGGCGCTGACACGGAGTTATGCTAGGCCATAAAATTCCCCCAGGTTCCATGAATTGGTTTAAGCAGTTTTCATAGCTACCTACAAGGCCATCGCCTAGGTAGCAGCAGCTACCTTCGCCACCTCTATTCCTCACCCCTACTTGTCCAAGAAGAGTGATGAGTCAAGTTCAAAAACCCCAAATAATGTGTGTCTACAAAGCTGCCTGAACTGCAAAAGCAGAAAGTACTTGTGGACTCATCACTGCTGTTTGAAGGGATGCAAGTAAAATGGTTCTTGGAAGCATTCTTTTCTGCTTTGGTGAGGAGAGGCTGTGCAGCTAAAAGACTCTTAGAACATGTGTGTGAGATTATAGCATGCTAATCACCATTGTTACCAGCATTTATTGGAGACATACTGTGAGCCAAGTGAAACTCAAAGAGATCAAGCTTTATGCTCAACTGCATCCAATCAGTAAGTGGTGGAGACACCATTTTTTCTCAGGTTTTTCTATTTCCAGAGCACTCTCCCCACTTTTTTTTTTTTTTCCTGAGACAGGGTCTTCTGTTTGCTGGAGTGCAGTGGCGCAATCAGCTCACGGTGGCTTCAAACTCTCGGACTCAAGTGGTCCTCCCACCACAGCCTCCCAAGTAGCTTGGTTAGGTACATGCCACCATGCCTGGCTAATTTTTTGAATTTTTTTTGTAGAGACAGTGTTTCACCGTTTTGCTCAGGTTGGTCCCAAACTCCTGGGCTCAAGTGATCCTCCTGCCAGGGCCTCCCAAAGTGTTGGGATTACAGACATGAGCTGTTACGCCTGGCATAGAGGCCTACATTTTTTTTTTTGAGATGGAGTTTTGCTCTGTCACCAGGCTGGAGTGCAGTGGCGCAATCTCGGCTCACTGCAACCTCCGCCTCCTGGGTTCAAGTGATTCTTCCGCCTCAGCCTCCCAAGTAGCTGGGACCACAGGCTCATGCCACCATGCCTGGCTAATTTTTTTGTATTTTTAGTAGAGACAGGGTTTCATTGTGTTAGCCAGGATGGTCTTGATCTTTTGACCTTGTGATCCACCCGCTTCGGCCTCCCAAAGTACTGGGATTACAGACATGAGCCACTGCGCCCAACTGATTTTTTTTTTTTAAGATGGAGTCTCACTCTGTTGACCAGGCTGGAGTATAGTGGCATGATCTTGGCTCATCACAACCTCCACCTCCCGTGTTCAAGCGATTATTCACCCTCAGCCTCCTGAGTAGCTGGGACTACAGGCACACACCACCATGCCCGGCTAATTTTTGAATTTTTAGTAGATATGGGGTTTCACTATGTTGGCCAGGCTGGTCTCGAACTCCTGACCTCGTGACCACCTGCCTCAGCCTCCCAAAGTGCTGGGATTACAGGCGTGAGCCTCTGCGCCCAGCCCAGAGCCCTAGATTTTAAGACTTTCACTTGAATCTCTTCCCTGCTTGACAGACAACAGTGCTACTCCCTTGGGAACAGACCTTAGCTGTAGGAGAGGTTTGCTTTAGAGCCACCATTAGAACTGAGTTGAGTCCCACCTGTTCTTTTCCAACAAGTGAGAATCCATAGCATAATAAACCTTAGACCACAAGCTATAAAACCAAAACAAGTGTCTCATTATGAACTAGCCATTGACTCTTGTTAAGAGCTGTTTCAAAGCCATGTCCAGAATCTGACCAAAAACCTTTGATCTGAACATTTCCCTTGCTCCTTTGAGCATTTCCTTTGATTGATTTATTAAAGGTCATTAGATTTCAGATTCTGGGTATCTTTAGAACCACAGAACAAAATTTAGTTTTATACTTAGCTTTCACGAGTTACACATTAAGACAATCTAGAAAAGGATCAAGGTAATAGAAAATATATAAAAACTATGGATGTTGTAAATTTCGGAATAATTTAAATAAGGGTCTCCAGGCAAGAGAAAGTGCAAATTGTCTTATGCAACCGATGTGCTTCTATAGTTTTAAGTTTTACATTTAAGTCTTTAATCAATCTTGATTTTTGTATATGGTATGAGGAAGGGGTCCAGTTTCAAGCTTCTGCATATCGCTAGCCAGTTATGTCATTAAATGAATGGGGAGTCTTTTCCACATTGCTTGCTTTTGTGTTTCTGTTGAAGATAAGATGGTTGTAGGCGTGCAGCTTTATTTCTGGGCTTAGAGAATCAAGCTATTAACCGAATTTTTTAAGAAGATTTTTCAAAAAATATGCATTAGAAGAGTGACCCATTTTCAAGAATCACTGCCTAAATTTTTCTGCAAAGTATTATATTAAGGAAATCTAGACTTTCATGTTTCAAGTTCGCTTAAAGGGCGATCCCCTATAGCGTTATATTTGTCCTTTCTGGATCCTAAGGCCAAACTCCTCCCTCCAACCTCTCTGCTATCAGCAACCCCTATGACTTCTTGATAATATGGATGATCTAGAATTCTCTTTGATTTAGGATTTGGTTGGCATTCATATAAAATATAAAACTGCTATTTCAGATGGGAGAAGAATTTTTTCCCAACTGCCTTTCATATACAGGTTAATTCCTCCAGCGACAGGAAACTAAGGATTGGGGTTGAAAGCAAAGGAGAGAAATAAAATATACCAAGAAATCACAGAATAAGCATTTAATTATGACACACTTATTTTTAACAGCATGACCCCTCTGGACGAATTCTTAACAGCTTTCGCATTTAATTTTACCTGTCACCACTCTCTAGGTGACTTCAAACTATCCCAGTAACTATTTTGCTTTTTCTTTGCCTTTCTTTTGTTTCTTTTTCTGTTTCTGGAATAAATAGTGAAAGGCCCCGTGGGCAAGTCGATGTACTGACGTGCACAAAGTGAAGCTTGTAATAGGCAAATAAACTCTGGATAAGTGAGATTCATTTCTTTTAACCGTTCATTACTTTATTCCTGTTAGCTTGCATTTCTACTTCAATAATATCTGATATATGTCAGGTGTGAGCATTGTTAGTGCTTTTGTTCTTATAGCAGGTGAATAAGATGGGATCTGAAATCATCGTGGCGGAGTCCAGTGAAAGAAGCAGAAGGGAGCTGAAGTTTTCTGAGGGTGAGTCATCTGCTACACTCCTTATCTTCATTTGACTGTTGGATCTCACATTGGGTCCATAATGTAAGGAACGTTTATGAGCAAAGAAATCTGTATGAGTGCATTTTTTCTTGTACTAACTGGTTTGTTACTTAGCTGTAGAGTTTGAATCTAAATAGAGTTAAGGTTATGGTCAGGATTCAATTAGCAGGGCGTGCTGGTGCATTCATTTGGGAGGGTCAGAACAGAGTCCATTTTCTAATGAGAAAGTAGAATTGCAGAGAGATTAAGGAATTCTTTTTGTCTCACCCAGTGTATTTGTCTTCTATGCCTGCTGTAACAGATTATCATGCACTGAATGGCTTCAAACAATACAAACACATTTTCCTAAAGCTCCACAGGTTAGAGTCCAACATGGGTCTCACTAGCCTGGAACTCAAGTGTTGGCAGGGCTGTGCTCCTGTCTGGGCTCTGGGGTGGAATGTTTTCCTGCTCTCTCCAGCTTCTAGGGAAACCCTCCGTTCCTTGACTCCTAAGTCATCTTCAAAGCCAGCAACGACAGGTGGAATCCTTCTTTCTTTGAGTCACTCCAACCTCCTCTTTACTGCTAAGTGTAGTTGGGATTCTATTGGACTCACCTGGATAATCTAGGCTACTCTATTTTACAGTCAGCTGATTGGAAACTTTAATTCTCCTTTGCCAAAACTCACTTATTCACAGACTTGGAAGATGAGTATTCGGACATTTCTGGGGAAGGGGCTCATTAGTCTGTCTACTCCACTCAACTGCTTTCTGAAGGGGTAAGGAACATAGGGATTTAAGCGCTCACACTTTCAGATAAATAAATGAAAACTCAGAGAGCTAAGAGAACTTTGTAGTGGGGCAGGAGATTTGCAGATTGAGATTTCTGCAAATCTCAGAGGGGAGCACCCATGCTTGGAGAAGTCAGGACGCTGTCTGTATACCAATCAGTTGTGTGTTTGGGGATTTGGGGGTTGGGATTAGGGATGTTATTTCTACTCTCCACAAGAGGGAGAGGAGGAGCAGAGATGGAACTTAGCTAATGGCTGAGGACAATTGACTTAACCTCTCTGGGCTTCTGGTTCCTCCTCTGGGAAATGGAGATGTAAATTTACCTATCTCAAAGGTTATTGAGAATTTCAGTGTGTTTAATGCATGTAAGGTGCTTAGTACAGCACCTGACTCACTAGTCAGTACCTATAAATGTTTGTCAGTTTTATTATGGTGAGTTTAATGAAGAGGTTGTGTGAGATGTGACATGGCAGTTTTGTAGTTCTGTGATTTTATCTCGGGTCTAGACTCTCATATCAAAGCCTGTGCTCTCTCCATTGTATTCAGAAGAATTCTAGAAGCTGTTAAGGTGGAAAGGAGATCAGGCACAGTGGCTTATACCTGTAACTCCAGCACTTAGGCCGAGAGGGGTGGACTGCTTGAGCAACATGGCAAATCCCTGTTTCTGCACTTAATACAAAAATTAGCAGGGCGCGCTGGTGCAATTCATTTGGGAGGCTGAGGAGGGAGGATCCCTTGAGCTGGGGAGTCCAAGGCTGCAGTGAACTGTGATTGCACCACTGCACTCCAGCCTGGGTGATAGAGTAAAACCCTGTTACAAAAAGAAGGTGAGACGGAAAAAGGATTCCTAGGAGGGTTAAAATCTGACTTTGATTAAACCACTGGCATCTCTGTGAACAAAGCTCTTGGTCTAATGGTTTATGATGCATTTTTTGTACTTTATTAATAAAAATGCTTATAATCTTAGGGTAACTAGGACAAAATGGCTAAATACCCAAACTAATAAGAGACCAGAGACATTCTTGAAAAAATGTATTATTTTGTGCATAAATCATGGTTGATAAACTACAAGGAATTAATAGAACATTGTTGGGAATTGAGGGTGTATATGTGTGTGTGTGTGTGTATGTGTGTGTGTGTATACGCATGCGTGCACGTGCTAAGAGACTGAAGTATGGCAAGCTGTACAAGAATTCGGTTCTGTGGACACGATTCACTTATGCCAAGACACAAGGAGAAATTACTAATACTTAAAAGAGGAAAGCCAGCAAGGGAGCAGCAGTGAGGAGACAGCAATGTCATCTCCTGAAAAAACATGCGGGGAAAAATCAGCAAAGGCCTGAGTGTGTCATAAAGAGTCATTCTCCACAAAAGGTTATGGGGATTGTGTCAGGGAAAGGGAAGGAGGGAGAAGCCCTGGGACAGCATAGCAGTGGGAAGAGCTGGAAATTCAGGGAGCAGACAGGGTCTCCGGAGGATTTCCAGGCACTTTGACTCCAGAGTTGCTTCCTTTCCAGTGACACCCAAACAAGCATTGCTAATTCCTGGCTCTAAATCGTAAACCCAAAACTCACTGCATTCTTCATGATTTTTATTTCTCTAACATACTTTCAATATTTAGGTCATGGAGTTTTGCTTTTTTTCCAAAAATGAATACATATTTATTCTTTGTACTTTGAAAATTACCGTCCTCCCAGCAAGTCTAACACAGCTATTTACGTAAAATGGGGGGTCTGGATAGGGAATGTGCAGCTAGGATCTAAAGAGAAAAAGCTAACGCTGAACTTCTGTCATACCAAATAAGATTGTGTAACAAAAAAAAGTGTCAGTTGCGGCTGGGAGCAGTGGCTCATGCCTGTAATGCCAGCACTTTGGGAGGCCGAGGTGGGTAGATTACTTGAGGCGAGGAGTTTGAGACCAGCTTGGCCAAATATGGCAAAATCTCGTCTCTACTAAAAATACAAAAATTATCCAGGCATGGTGGTGTGCACCTGTAATCCCAGCTCTTCAGGAGGCTGGGGTGTGAGACTTGCTTGAACCCGGAAAGCAAACATTGCAGTGAGCCAAGATTGTGCCACTGCACTCCAGCCTGGGTTACAGAGACTTTACCTAAATATATGTGTTTTATATATATATGTGTGTGTGTGTGTAATATATATGTGCGTGTGTAATATATATGTGTTATATATGTAATATATATGTGTGTAATATATATATATATATATGAGATAAAAGTTGCGTGCATGGCTTTATGCAAAGGAAGAGGCGTTTCTTGGCTGAGTACAGTGGCTCACGCCTGTAATCCCAGCACTTTGGGAGGCCAAGAGGGGTGGATCACCTGAGGTCAGGAGTTTGAGACCAGCCTGACCAACATGGAGAAACCCCCTCTCTACTAAAAATACAAAATTAGCCAGGTGTGGTGGTGTGTGCCTGTAATCCCAGCTACTTGGGATGCTGAGGCAGGAGAATTGCTTGAACCTGGGAGACAGAGGTTGCAGTGAGCTGAGATCCTGCTATTGCATTCCAGCCTGGGTGATGACAGTGAAACTCCATTTCAAAAAAAAGAAAAAAAAAAGGAAGAGGAGTTTGTAAATTGGTATAGGCCTGGCGACTTGGATGAGAGAGTTTCTTTTTTGGAGGTGGAGAGGATACTCTTTTCATTTGGAAGAGGGGGAAACTGACCTTTCTAGCCTGGTGGAATTGTGGGAAAGACAAAAGGAGAGAGATGAAGAACAAAGAGGTCAGATACAGGAGCTCTCCTCTCTCTAACCATTCCAGCTTCTGTGCTTGACCATCTGGTGTGGAGGAGTGGCTTTAGAAAACCCAGAGAGGCATGAGGGAGACCAAGCATATTTAGGTTTACGGCATAATTCTCCTGGCATGGGGAGCAGAGGAGGCTGCCAGCCATTGGGAGAAACTCTACGCAGAGATGGTTCCAACAAGCCTGGGGTGATGGCATGAAGGTGGGAGCAGACCACAGATGGTTGATCCCTAGGGCCTGTATTTGGTATGCAAGAGTACCAGAGAACTCTGCATGCCCTGGTTACGAGATGTGGAGGTGCTAAGCGCACCCCCGGACTGCAGAGCTCTAGGGCCAGGGCCTGAAGGCTACAGAGCTAGGAATTTCTAAGTAGGGGGCAAGTTCCTGGGAGTGCAAGCTCCAGGGATGACAGCAACACAGATCCCAAGAGAGGCGATGGAGACTACTCAGCAGCAGTCACTAGACCAGTGAGCAAACCAATCCCATCATTTGGAGCAATGAATCCAAAGCCCCAGAGCATACCACATAAACCCAAGGACTCTTGTTTCCACCATGGTAAGAGCCCAAAACTCCTCCTACATCCCAAGGCAGAAGTGTAGGAGGGAAAGAAAAGGGGTGGAATATGACATCATTTTCATAAATTTCATCATGCCAAAGGTGATGAAAAAAAGAGTGAAAAGAGTGAATATTTATAAACAGAAAGGAAACTGCTTAAATTAGAAGAAACCAAAATAGGCTAATGCCGTGGCTCTTGTCTGTAATCTTCACACTTTGGGAGTCCAAAGCAGGAGGCTTGAGCCCAGGAACTTGAGACCAGTCTGGGAAACATGGTGAGACCTCAGCTCTACAAAAAAAAGTTTAAATAAGGCAGGAGGATTGCTTGAGCCCAGGAGGTCGAGGCTGCAGTGAATCTTGATCACATTGTTGTACTCCGGCCTGGCTGACAGAGGGAGACCCTGCCTCAAAACAGATACTAAAACAAACTAGTAACTGGTAAATCAATGTTGTGTCTCCCCGAGGGGTGGAGGTCTGCAAAGATCAGGACAGTTCAGCGGATAGAAAGCTGTATGTTTTTTCTGTGCGTGTAAGTATAGGGTCATTCTGCTTCAGTTTGTGAAGTTGTTCATTCTTAATTATAAGTTGGCCCGAAAGCCTGTTAAACCAAACATTCTAAATGAAAATGAAAAATGTGAAGTTATTAGGGATTGAAATTGGGATTTTCTACCTTATAAAGGACATTTTCTAGAAAACTGCCTTAATTATTCCTTTAGAACCGTTAACAGTGGAGGGTGTCCTGGTTCTTGGAGTCTTGAACAAGGAATTGGACAAAATGCACAAACAAAGCAAGGAAGGAATGAAGGGATTTATTGAAAATGAAAGTACACGCCACAGTGTGGGAGCAGGCTGGGCATAGGAGCTCAAAGGCCCTGGTCCAAAATTTTGGGGA